TCAAACCCAGACTGCTGGCCTCAAGCCACTGTTCTTTCCACAACTCAGAAAATTCAAGCAATTGGGCCTCCCTGGTGGCGCAGGTGGTTGAGTGCAATGCTGTGAAGCTGTCCACAGCCTCTGCAGTGCGGTTCAATCCCCACCGGCCTCAAAGCAACCCACATGGTGCAGCAGACCTCTCCTGTCTCACCCACTGCTCCCCTCAGCAGTGTATTTCGTCAGTCTGCCTGTTCTGTTCCCCGCTCTGTCTCTGGTGAATCCTCTCACCCTCCCGCGCATCTGGCCTGTACCCCAGCTCTTGTATAAATAAAATAAATCTTTAAAACAAAAAAAGAAAATTCCAGCAATTCTCCAGAAACCTCTCCCCAATATTCACGAGAAAGTAGGTTTCTTCCAGACCTGAAGATTTGACCACAAAGAGCCCCTCTCCTGAAGAAAAGCATTAACTTCGTGGAAGAACAAACATCCTTTTCTAAAATTCAACATTTTAAAGAAAAAAAAACAAATGCTTTCATAGTGATTGTTGAGGACAGAGGATGGAAATCATGACAGGAACAATTTAAAGACCAGAGGCCAAAATAATTTTTAAAGATATGGCAAACAAACAAACAAAAGTAAGTAAAAAGCCATTTACAAATGGAAAAATATTGACAACCTATAGTACAACAAAGTTAACATCCTGAATATATTAAAAGCTTCTATAAATAGAGAAAGCAGAGGGTAAAAATGCTACCAAAAAAAGGAGCAGAGAAACAGGAGTTCACAGAAAAAGAAACATAATGGCTCTGCTATGAAAAGAAGATTACTCTTGCTAATGAAAGAAAAACTACAGCTAAATAGAATTTCACACCTATTATGTTCACAGCATAAAAGAATTTTTCATCTATTACATTTGACACCACACACACACACACACACACACACACACCCGTTCTGGTGAGGTAGAAGAAGAGGCTTTAATACTTGGTAGTGGTACTTTCAAATGGTATAAGCTCTATGCCAATTTTAAAATGTCAAGCCAGGTTAAATACGCATTCACCCTTTTAATCAGAAATCCTAAAAAAGTGCTGGGGAAAAAAGGAGATGATATAAACAAGCTAGTCCCTGAAGCTTTGTTTCTAATGGCAAAAATCTAGAAAATAACACAAATGGCCATTATGTAGGTTAGTTGGATAACTGCTATGCAGCTATAAAAAGAAATAGAATTCCTCTATTTACAGCTATGGAATGATCATCAGAAAATGCTATTAATTTAAAAAATAAAAGGAGCATATAGAGTACATTACCCTTTAATTAAGAGAAGAATGAGTGTGTGTGTGAGAGAGAGTGTTTGCTTATAATCACAAAAACACAGCAGCAGAAGCACTTGCATTTTTTTAAGGACAGGGAAAATATAGGGTGGAGGGTCAGGGTAAAAATTAGACTTTTGAATCTTGTTTTTCGGACATGACAATGGAATGATGTAAATGTTTTTACCAAGTTGTTAAAACTTTTAAGTCAGAGTAAGAAAAAGTTTCTCAAAATTGAAATCTAAATAAAACAAAGGACATCGCCAAAAAGAAATTATTTCAAGTGATTCAAAATACAACAGTCTAACCAGGAGGCTCAACCGTATATACCCTAGTAAGAAAAAGTATTTGTTTTGATCAACTCTAAATGTATTTGTTCTTAAAATATGTTTTTTCCCAGTCTAAGTGCCCAAGGGCAAAGGAGTGTATTTCACTTAGATGTGAGAAATACATTTCTGTTGTTTGTAAGACCCACACCACACTATTTTGTTACAGCAGCCTGATCAGACTAAGACAGTTATCTCTGGGGATTCTAGGAAACTAACTTATTATATTGAAAAATAAAAAATAAAAAGGAGATTAATCAAATATTTACCCCCTCCTTTCCCGATATGAATTCTACCTCAGGGAAGTTTTAAAAATAATAATAAAAAGAAGAGAGGGAAAGTTAAGGTGGAAGAGAGAAGAGTTCTTCTAAAGAATTCCAGGTAAAAATGAAGATAAAAAGATAGACTTAGTCCATCACCACTGTTCAACCTTTAATAAACTGATATATCTGGGAAATGATCATCAGTGGCCAGTTAAGCTATTAGTTAGAAAATTGGTGGGAAATCTTATAAAAAGGATGGAGCTAGCTAAGCATATCTGACCCTACCAATACATTTTAATTCATAGAGTTATAAGATGAGCATATGTGCTACACAGAAGTATTCAATACCACCTATGAGATTTAGATTTAAAGGAAAGATCAAAAAGAAATTAGCTAGTCATTGGTGAGTGGTTCATCAAATGTTAACTATTTTCCAACTAATCCAGATATGACAATCAGATTTCTAGTTGTCTGGTGGCTTTCATGACCCTATAGAGCAGAAAAGGATATCAGAATCAAGCTGATTGTATTCCAGAAGTGCAAGGATGGTTCAATAGTGGAAACCAATCATTTCAAATGATAAAGGTAAAATATTTTATAAAATTTAATATTCACTCATGACAAAATCTTAGGAAACTAAGAATAAAAATTTTTAATGTAATTCAAACTGATTTTTAAGTCCCACTATAAAATTCACACATATTAGAAATATTATTTCTAAAGTCAGGAAAAAAAAAGTATAAACTACATAATCATTTTACTCCATTGTTTTGGAGGTCTTAGTTCATGAAGAAGGCCAAGAAACGGAAGTAAAATTAGTGATTAGAAATGAAAAGAAAACAATCATTTAATATTAAAATAATATACAATCCTAAAAACCATACAAAACTATTAGAACTGAAATGCTAATTTTACAAGATCTCTGGATAAAAATTCAAAATAAAAATAAATAATGATGCTATCAAGGAGCACAAACCAATTATTAAATGTTATAGAAAAAAATTCAAGGTACTTAATTATTATTAAGGAATGAAGTTATTAAAATGTGTGAGACTTATGGGGGAAATGTAATAAAAATCACTGAAAGATATAAAAATTTACAAATGGAGAAATAGACTACATTTATAAAATGAGAAAATTAATACCATTAAAAATTCAAGTCCCTCCAAATTAATCTATAAATCCAATACACTTACAATTAAAATCCCAACAGGGATTTTTGTGGAAGTTGACAAACAGATCCTAAAATTCATAGTGAAAGAAAAAGATCCACGAGTTGCAGAAACAATTATAAGGAGGAAGTAATAATATCAATGAGCGGAAATTGTTCCAATATGTTGCTGTGTAATAAAATATCTAAAATTTAAGTTATTTTGCCCACAAATCTACAATTTGGGCAGATCTTGGTGGGAACCTCTGACATCTGTTCCACGAGGTATAAGCAAGGGAAGCTGAAGTACTGCTCATAGCTGGAATTATCTGAAGGCTCTTCACTCCCCTGCATGAGTGTAGAAAATGACTGGTGGCTGCGACCTAGGCTGGGTTGATGGCTGCAACACTTATACAGGCATACTTCATTTTACTGATTTTTTTTATTGCCCTTCACAGACGTTGCATTTTTAATAATTGAAGGTTTGTGGCAACGCTACATAAAGCAAGTCTATTGGTGTCATTTTCCAAGGCATGTGTTCACTTTGTATCTCTGTATCACATTTTGGGAAGTCTCAAGACTTTTCAGAAATCATCATTATTATAATAACTGTAACCTGTGAGCTTTGATGTTACTATTGTAATTGTTCTGGGCTACCATGAATAATATCTTTTAATAAAAACGGCATGACCTCTATGGCAATTTTAAAATGTCAAGCAAGGTTAGACAGGCATTCACCCTTTTACTCAGAAATCCTAAAAAAAGTGCTGAATAAAAAGGAGATGATATAAACAAGCTAGTACCTGAACCTTGTTCCTAATGGCAAGCAAAGAAAGTGAGATATTGTGCATTCAGTTCCAGACTAAAAAGGAGATGATATAAACAAGCTAATACCTGAACCTTGTTCCTAATGGCAAGCAAAGAAAGTGAGATATTGTGCGTTCAGTTCCAGACTACCACAATAAATGAGTATTACAAAAAAGCAAAACACACAATTTTTTGGCCATAGGCAGTCAGTCCTCCTATTGATCTGGGCAAAGTAAGTTGAAAACCTTCTGAAAGGATCTACCCTTCCACATGTCATTAAGGATATTCATGATTCATAGGAGCCAGTCAAAATATCAAGATGAACAGGAGTTCCTTCTAAGTCATGGGTAACTTTAAGGGAAGCAAGAGTTCAGAGAAGAGAGTAACTGTTCAGATATGGTGGAAATAGCAAGAGAACTAGAATTAGAAGTGGATCCTGAATATATGACTGAATTGTGGCAGTCTCATGATAAAACTTAAACGAAAGAGGAGTGAGCAAAGAAAGTGGTTTTTGAAATGGTATCAACAACTGGCTGATGGGTGAGAAAAAAAAGTGGTTTCTTGATACAGTATCTACCACTGGTGAAGATGCTATAGACATTGCTGAAAATGACAACAATGCTGTTAGAATATTACATAAACTTAGCTGTTACAGAAGCGGTAGGGTTAGAGAGGACTGACACCAATTCTGAAAGAACTTCTACTGTGGGCAAAATGCTACTGACCACAATTGCATGCTAACAGAGAAATCTTTGGTGAAGGAAGAGTTAGTCAATGTGACAAGCTTCATTGTCTTATTTTAAGAAATTGCCACAGCCATCCCACCAACACCCTGAGTAGTTAACAGCTGTCTGTACTGAGGCAAGACCCTCCACCAGCAGAAATGTTATGACTCCCTGAAGGTTCAGATGATGGCTAGCAATTGTTAGCAATAAAGTGATTTTTTTTCACCACCAAAAGTCCAAATCTATCCTTAACCATAAAGTATTCTAAATTAAAGTATGTACATTTTTAGACATAATATTATTGCATTTTTAATAGACTACAGTATAGTGTAAACATAACTTTTACATGCACTCAGAAACCAAAAAATTTGTGTGCCTTGCTTTATTGCAATACTCATTTATTGTGTTAGTCTGGAACTGAACCCACGGTATCTCTGAGGTATGCCTGTACTTACCCCTTCCAAATGGCTGTTTGGCTTCCTCATGGAATGGTGGCTGGGTTCCAAAAGCAAGTTTCTCAAGAGAGAGCACCAGGGAGAAGTTATATCGTATTTTATGACCTAGCAAGGAAAGTCACACAATATCACTTTCATCACGTCTTACTAGTTAGGAATAGTCACTAAGGTCATCTAAGTCAAGGGCTGGTGAACTAGATCTCTTGATGGCAGTAGTGTCCAAGAATTCACAGATAAGTTTTAAAACCACTATAGGAGTGTCCCATAAGATAATATGCTTAAACTATAGCAACTAAAAAGGAAATCAAGAGAAAAAACATGAAATAGAAAGGAATGAGATGAGATAGGGTAGGATGCGATGGAGAACCAAGGAACAGAGTTACATGATCACCAAAGGACAGTGTTATACTCTTACAAGGACAAGGCATAATACTAACTGGTGAGGAAAGAATGGTCTATTTATTAAAATGTGTTGCTACAAATGATATTCATAAAGGAAGAAAAATAAAATTAGATACTAAAAATAAATTAAAGGTGAAATAAAATGTATAAAACCTAAAACAGAAATCAAAACTTTAAGAAGAAAATATAAAATAATATATTGGTAACCCAATGATAGGGAATTGGACATCTCAAAGCTCCAATCATAAAGAAACAGATTGTGACTACTGACTAAAAGTAAATTTTTGGTTTCTAAACAACTGTGAAAATAGGCCATAGGCTGGCAGAATATCTTTAACTGACAATTGGTTAGTATCAGAAATTATGACACCTAACACAATAAAGATAAAGAATTCAGTAGGAAAAGTAGCAAAAGCTGCAAACATTCAATTACAGAAAAGGAATAATCAATAATTACATGAAAAATTCCTCAATTTTTCTATTTATTGAAGAGACATAGCTGAAACAACTATAAAAGACCACTTTGCACCCAAAAGACTGCCACTTTATTTTTAAATAACAATACCAGATGTTAGCAGAACCATGCACACACTAGTGATAGAAGTGTATTTTGGCAATTTGACAGCATCTAGTAATGTTAAGACCTCCAGCCCTTGCTAACCATAACCGCACTTCTCTAAGGTCTATATGCACTTTTAACAAATGTTCACACATACACAACAATAAATTAACAAGCATGTTAATGGGTTGTGAGAGTGAAACAAATAAATATATAAATAAATAAGAGAAAATACCTAAGTGTTCATCAGAAGTAGATAAATAATGTTACATTCAAACGATAAAAAATTCAACACTTAAACTGAAAGAAACTGATTTATAAGTATGTTGAGTTTTAATAGCAAGCTGCGGAAGAATAAGCACTATATAATACAACACTAATGCCTTTTAATACTATATATTATCTATTGATACAGACTCCTGTAGTTGATATACAAAATTATGGAAGCAACAGACATCTCCAAGATGCTAGTTTTCTCAGGGGTGGAGGGTGAAAACAGAGCTCGTCAGGGGGACAAAGACAACTTCAATGTCAATATAATATTATTATATTATTTTATATAATAATATTGTATAACAATTATTATAAAATAAAAATCTGAGGCAGAAATGTCAACACATTGAACTTTAACATTTCTAATAATGGACAGGAATATTTGTTTTATTAACTCATTTATCTTAAACATGCTAAGAGTTCAATAAATTTATTGTGCTGTTAGTGGCAAGAATAAGAAACTCAATTCAACCAGATTAGATAAAAGTGGAATTTACTGAGTCACAGAATCCAAGAAAAGGTACCACAACCTCAGAACAAATTTGCAGCAGATCTTAGAAACAAACTTGAACCAAGAGATGTAAATGCCACCAGAAATCTATTACCAACTTTGGTGTCTATTCTTCTTCACATAAAATAAATAATATTACCATAATTACTCCAACTTCTACTATTACTACTGGTGCTATTACTAGCTGCAAAGAACATTTATATAGCACCTACTGTGTTCACATCAATGATCTTAAAAGTCTACATTTAATAACTAATGTAATCTTCAGAACAATACCACTTTATGGATAGAGAAACTGAGGCACAGAAATGTGAAAAGATATTTTTCCATTTCTTTGAAGAATGACATTGAAATTTTAATTGGAATAGCATTGAATCTGTAGATTGCTTTTGGTAGAATGGCCATTTTGATAATGTTAATTCTTCCAATCCATGATCAGGGAATGTCTTTCCATTTCTTTGTGTGACAAAAACCCAAATAGCCAAAACCCTCCTGGAAAAAAAAAAAGAAGGGAATGGAGACATCACTCTCCAAGATTTCAAACTATACTACAAACCCATAATAATCAAAACTGCATGGTATTGGAACCAGAACAGACACATGGACCAATGGAACTGAATAGAAAACCCAGAAATAAACCCACAGATTTATGGTCAACTAATCTTTGACAAAGGAGCAAAGAATATACATTGGAGCAGAGAAAGTTTGTTCAATAATTGGTTCTGGGAAAACTGGGTCGCCACATGCAAAAGAATGAAACTTGACTGCTACCTCACCTCATGCACAAAAACCAACTCAAAGTGAATTAAAGAATTAGACATAAGACCTGAAACCATAAAATATATAGAAGGAAATATAGGCAAAATACTACATGACATGCACCTCAAAGACATCTTTACAGACACATCACCCAAAGCAGTGATAGTGAAGGCAAAGATAAACAGCTGGGACTACATTAAATTAAAAAGCTTCTGCACAGCAAAAGAGACAATAACCAAAACAAAGAGAAACCCCACCGACTGGTAAAAATTTTGCACACAACACTAATGATAAAGGACTGATCACAAAAATCTACAAAGAGCTGATGAGACTCAACAAAAACAAAGAAAATAATCCAGTTAAAAAATGGGCAGAAGAGCTAAAGAGCTAAAAAGAAACCTCTCCAAAGAGGAAATAAAAATGGCCAACAGGCATATGAAAAAATGTTCAACATCACTTGCAATCAGGGAAATGCAAATCAAAACTACCATGAGATACCATCTCACACCAGTGAGAAAGGCACATATTTAAAAAAAAAAACTAGCAACAACAAATGTTGGCGAGGATCTGGAGAATAAGGAAACGCTCCTGCACTGCTGGTGGGAGTGCAAACTAGTCCAACAACTATGGAAGGCTGTGTGGAGATTTCTCAACCTACTAAAGATAGAGCTTCCAAATGATCCAGCAATTCCACTCCTAGGCATTTACCCAAAGGACACAGAAACATCAATTCCAAAGAGCACCTGCACTCCTGTGTTTATAGCAGCATTATTTACAATAGCTAAGCTTTGGAAACAACCCAAATGCCCAAAAATAGATGACTGGATCAAGAAGATGTGGTACATATACACAATGGAATATTACTCAGCCTTCAAAAAAGATAAACACATGCAATTTGCAGCAACATGGATGGAGTTGGAAGGGCTCATGCTCAGCGAAATAAGCCAGAAATAAAAATAAAAATATCAGATGGTCTCACTCATAACAGAAATCTAGAAAACCTAAATAAGGGATCAGGAAAAAGAATAGCTATAAAAAAGAAAAAATCAAAATTAACAAACAACTATGAACCAGAAACACACTATGGGGGGGTGGAGGGATTGGGATCAAAATAAGGGGGTTGCAATTGTATGGGAATATAAAAATAAAATTTTAAAAAAGAGGACTATTAAAAAAAAGAAAAAAATCCAAGAGGAGGTAGGGGAGCCTATGATTAGCCCATCTTGGGTCAGGTACTCCTGTATCAAACATCTATGAGGAGCAGCAGGAAAGTTATGAGAATCATGGAACAAAAAGGAAGTTCTATGGAAGTCATAAAGTTGAAATAGGTAAAGAAGATACCAAAAAAAGCAAAGACTTGGCTTCCTAAGGCAGGAGGGAAAAGTAATGAGAAGAGGTTGAAGACACACCTAAATGATGCACGCTACACTTTCACATGGTATTCACTACGTGTTCGTTGTTTCTTAGGCTTTTGTGTCTTATCTAAAATGGGCACAATGAGCATACATTGTTTGATAAGTTTAAAAAATCAAGTTCTTTCAGCAGCTGCCCCTCCTCTGAATTCTTCTCTTGTTCTCTTTTCTCCACCCTGGAAATAAACTCTGGCACTTTGTGTTGGTGGCTGAATGGAGTCAATGTCTCCTACACAGTCTCTGAATTCCTCCTGAAAAGTTGAGAATGCTCTTTGTAAACATCCCATAGTGAGGAAACTAGGAAAGTTGTTTAAAGGTCATGTTAAAAAGTTATTTTAAGTGATTGTTTTATTTTTCTCTATCTTGGAACTGGGGTGATGGGACTGAAATAAACAATGCATTATAGACACACAGACCCAGGTTCAAACCGTGGCTCTGACACTAACAGGAAAATAATTTTGAACATGTTTCTTAATCTTCCTTCTCTCAAGTTCATCATTTTAAAGATGGGGTAAATATTAATGACCTCCTAGGTTGGGGGGTGATGTTTGGAGGGGAGAGTTTGGTCCACGTGGAAAGGTAGTCATGGGTTTTTAGGAGAATTTGTCCTTGTTCAAAAGAGAATCAGTGGACTCCAGAAATGTGTCCTATAATTGGAGGTGCATTTCTAGACTACTTTTCTCTGCTTTATTCCAGAGGAGGGGTTATACTCCATAAGAGGTGTGTTTTGGCAAGGGATATTGCCCCACAGAAGGAGACTCCCATGATGTTCTCACAGTTCTCCTATGGCTGCTAAAGAACATTCTCCTGTGTGCCTGAGACCAAAGCCCTCAGAAGGGCCTCCTGTAACCTTTCTTAGGATTCAGCCTCAGGGCATCAGCAATGAGCTGTCTTGAACATTCATTTCTTTCTGCTCCATTACAGAGGCACATCAGATAGAAAAAGTATTCAGAAAGAGTATATTAGGTGCTGGGGTCCTGTCTGTTCATACATGTGGTGGCTGAAGAACAAAGTGAGAAGAGCAAATCCCAAACTAGAAAAGTCTGGATCCTCTACCAGTGATAAAAGCAAGATAAGAACATAAGTGGCAGGTATGACTCATGGCAGGGATGGGGGTATGCACTGACGGGGTCACTCATCTTTCAGAAGTACCAAGAGTTCATTAAAAGACTTAGCAGAAGTTCCTAAC